TCAGACACATATACATCAACATACCTACACACAGAATATATACACCAACACATATACACATATATACACCTACATCAGAACATATATGGGGTCAATATACCTACATCAGATAATATATAAACACACCAACACACCTACATCATCAATACATCAACACACCATATATATGGGCTGTGATATATACCTACACACACCAACATATATATCAACATATATACCACATCAGAATATATATGGGCTGTGATATATATATACCTACATCAGAATATATATGGGGTGTGATATATACCTACATCAGAATATATATGGGGTGTGATATATACCTACATCAGAATATATATGAGGTGGAGATATATACCTACATCAGAATATATATGGGCTGTGATATATACCTACATCAGAATATATATGGGGTGGAGATATATACCTACATCAGAATATATATGAGGTGGAGATATATACCTACATCAGAATATATATGGGCTGTGATATATACCTACATCAGAATATATATGGGGTGTGATATATACCTACATCAGAATATATATGGGGTGTGATATATACCTACATCAGAATATATATGGGGTGTGATATATACCTACATCAGAATATATATGGGGTGTGTTATATATACCTACATCAGAATATATATGGGGTGTGATATATACCTACATCAGAATATATATGGGGTGTGATATATACCTACATCAGAATATATATGGGGTGTGATATATACCTACATCAGAATATATATGGGGTGTGATATATACCTACATCAGAATATATATGGGCTGTGATATATACCTACATCAGAATATATATGGGGTGGAGATATATACCTACATCAGAATATATATGGGGTGTGATATATACCTACATCAGAATATATATGGGGTGTGATATATATCTACATCAGAATATATATGGGCTGTGATATATACCTACATCAGAATATATATGGGGTGTGATATATACCTACATCAGAATATATATGGGGTGTGATATATACCTACATCAGAATATATATGGGGTGTGATATATACCTACATCAGAATATATATGGGCTGTGATATATACCTACATCAGAATATATATGGGGTGTGATATATACCTACATCAGAATATATATGGGGTGTGATATATACCTACATCAGAATATATATGGGGAGTGATATATACCTACATCAGAATATATATGGGGTGTGATATATACCTACATCAGAATATATATGGGGTGTGATATATACCTACATCAGAATATATATGGGGTGTGATATATACCTACATCAGAATATATATGGGGTGTGATATATACCTACATCAGAATATATATGGGGTGTGATATATACCTACATCAGAATATATATGGGGTGTGATATATACCTACATCAGAATATATATGGGGTGTGATATATACCTACATCAGAATATATATGGGCTGTGATATATACCTACATCAGAATATATATGGGGTGTGATATATACCTACATCAGAATATATATGGGGTGTGATATATACCTACATCAGAATATATATGGGGAGTGATATATACCTACATCAGAATATATATGGGGTGGAGATATATACCTACATCAGAATATATATGGGGTGGAGATATATACCTACATCAGAATATATATGGGGTGTGATATATACCTACATCAGTATATATATGGGGTGTGATATATATCTACATCAGAATATATATGGGGTGTGATATATATCTACATCAGAATATATATGGGCTGTGATATATACCTACATCAGAATATATATGGGGTGTGATATATACCTACATCAGAATATATATGGGCTGTGATATATACCTACATCAGAATATATATGGGGTGTGATATATACCTACATCAGAATATATATGGGGTGTGATATATACCTACATCAGAATATATATGGGGTGTGATATATACCTACATCAGAATATATATGGGCTGTGATATATACCTACATCAGAATATATATGGGGTGTGATATATACCTACATCAGAATATATATGGGATGTGATATATACCTTCATCAGTATACATATGGGGTGTGATATATACCTACATCAGAATATATATGGGCTGTGATATATACCTACATCAGAATATATATGGGGTGTGATATATACCTACATCAGAATATATATGGGGTGTGATATATACCTACATCAGAATATATATGGGGTGTGATATATACCTACATCAGTATATATATGGGGTGTGATATATATATACCTACAGCAGAATATATATGGAATGTGATATATACCTACATCAGAATATATGTGGGCTGTGATATATACCTACATCAGAATATATATGGGGTGGAGATATATACCTACATCAGAATATATATGGGGTGTGATATATACCTACATCAGAATATATATGGGGTGTGATATATACCTACATCAGAATATATATGGGCTGTGATATATACCTACATCAGAATATATATGGGGTGGAGATATATACCTACATCAGAATATATATGGGCTGTGATATATACCTACATCAGAATATATATGGGGTGTGATATATACCTACATCAGAATATATATGGGGTGTGATATATATACTACATCAGAATATATATGGGGTGTGATATATACCTACATCAGAATATATATGGGGTGTGATATATATACCAAAATCAGAATATATATGGGGTGTGATATATACCTACATATATAGAATATATATGGGGTGTATCTACATCAGATATATACCTACATCAGAATATATATACATCAGATATATACCTACATCAGATATATACCTACATCAGATATATACCTACATCAGAATATATATACCTGTGATATATACCTACATCAGAATATATATGGGCTGTGATATATACCTACATCAGTATACATATTGGCTGTGATATATACCTACATCAGAATATATATGGGGTGTGATATATACCTACAGCAGAATAAATATGGAATGTGATATATACCTACATCAGAATATATGTGGGCTGTGATATATACCTACATCAGAATATATATGGGGTGGAGATATATACCTACATCAGAATATATACCTACATCAGATATATATACCTACATCAGATATATATACCTACATCATATATACCTACATCAGAATATATATATACCTACATCAGATACATATACCTACTTCAGATATATATACCTACATCACACAGATATACCTACATCAGATATATATACCTACATCAGATATATATACCTACATCAGAATATATACCTACATGATAGATATATACCTACATCAGATACCTACATCAGATAAATATACCTACATCAGATACCTACATCAGATAGATATACCTACATCAGATAGATATACCTACAGCAGACACATATACCTACATCAGATAGATATACCTACCGCAGACACATATACCTACATCAGATAAATATACCTACATCAGATAGATATACCTACATCAGATAGATATACCTACATCAGATAGATATACCTACAGCAGACACATATACCTACATCAGATAGATATACCTACATCAGATAAATATACCTACATCAGACAGATATACCTACATCAGATAAATATACCTACATCAGATACCTACATCAGATACCTACATCAGATAAATATACCTACATCAGATAGATATACCTACATCAGATAGATATACCTACATCAGATAAATATACCTACATCAGATAGATATACCTACATCAGATACCTACATCAGATAGATATACCTACATCAGATAGATATACCTACATCAGATAGATATACCTACATCAGATAGATATACCTACATCAGATAGATATACCTACATCAGATAGATATACCTACATCAGATACCTACATCAGATAATTATACCTACATCAGATACCTATATCAGATCAATATACCTACATCAGATACCTACATCAGATAGATATACCCACATCAGATACCTATATCAGATAGATATACCTACATCAGATAGATATACCCACATCAGATACCTATATCAGATAGATATACCTACATCAGATACCTACATCAGATAAATATACCTACATCAAATAGACATATCTACATAAGGTGAAGACTTTAGCACTAGATAATAAATTTCATATCAGTCTTAAATAACACAAGCTTTCAATTTTGTCTAATTTATCTGATAAACAGAATCTTACATTTTTGTTTGATTTTCATTTGATTGATTGAATTTGTTTTACAAATATGACATGTAAGGAAAGCTCGTTTATGGTCCTTTATACACGAAACTTGTTACGACTATGAAATAGTAAAAGCCTTTCTCAGTACATCTTGGTCATATTTTGCCCTAGTTTCAACATATTTTGGCTTGAATAAAGATTCTATTGATATGTCATTATTTTTATGCTCCCGTCCGTCCGTTCGTCCTTTCCTGTCTGGAGCATGACTTTGTCAACAGTTAAGTAAGGGTAATGAAACTTGGTGTATACATTGATCGTTCTTAGATAATGTGCAGTGTACCAAATTGAGGTCCTGCAATCCCTTAATTACATAATCACACAATTATTGCCCATTGCTAAAAAGTCTTGTCCGTAGCCTAAATTTGCTCACTAGTAAGCAAGGAAACTTGATGTATACACTGATCATACTAATGTGTTGTGTACCAAATTCAGTGGCCTCGACCACTCAATTACAGAGTTATAGCCTTTTGTTCAAAATATCTTGTCCATAGCATAAGTATGTATGCAGAGTACCAATGTCAGAGCCTGCAACCCATTAATAATATAATATTAATAACTGAATTATTGCCCTTTGTTAAAATTTTGTGTCTGTATCATTACTTTCCCTGCATTTAAACTAAAATATTAAAACGTGATATATACATCAGTCATTCAAAAACAAGGTGCAGTGGAGCCAATTCAGGGTATGCAACCACTTAACGACAGAATTATTGCCCTTTGTTAAAATTTTGTGTCCATTAATGTTGGTTTTTTTGGTAGTACTCATCAGTTTCACTGATACGCTTGCTGTTTATTCTTACAGACACTGCGGAAATATACAGGGACTCTCCTACATGACAGCAATAGACAACAAAAACACAATGATGCTCATCTTCGATGCTGACTTTGTCAGTGGTAGAGCCCCGAGTAAAGGATTCAACTTAACAGTGGAAAGTCAGGGGGCAGGTTAGTTGTTCCGGCAAGAGGCTCGGTAAATGTTTTAGATATATAATTTAACAATGGCTTCATTAAATAATACAGAATTAATAAGACATGGAAGTCATCCCGAGAAGGGCTTCATTAAATTATTAGAAAGGACAGGGAAGTTATCTCGACAAGAGAGTCAGTAAATTATACAGAATTAGAAAGGACAGGGAAGTTATCTCGACAAGGGAGTCAGTAAATTATACAGAATTAAAGGGACAAGGAAGTTATCTCGACAAGGAGTCAGTAAATTATACAGAATTAGAAAGGACAGGGAAGTTGTCTCGACAAGGGAGTCAGTAAATTATACAGAATTAGAAAGGACAGGGAAGTTATCTCGACAAGGGAGTCAGTAAATTATACAGAATTAAAGGGACAAGGAAGTAAATTATACAGAATTAAAGGGACAAGGAGTTATCAGTAAATTATACAGAATTAGAAAGGACAGGGAAGTTGTCTCGACAAGGGAGTCAGTACATTATACAGAATTAGAAAGGACAGGGAAGTTGTCTCGACAAGGGAGTCAGTACATTATACAAAATTAGAAAGGACAGGGAAGTTGTCTCGACAAGGGAATCAGTACATTATACAGAATTAGAAAGGACAGGGAAGTTATCTCGACAAGGGAGTCAGTAAATTATACAGAATTAGAAAGGACGGGGAAGTTGTCTCGACAAGGGAATCAGTAATTTATACAGAATTAGAAAGGACGGGGAAGTTATCTCGACAAGGGAATCAGTAATTTATACAGAATTAGAAAGGACGGGGAAGTTATCTCGACAAGGGAGTCAGTACATTATACAGAATTAGAAAGGACAGGGAAGTTATCTCGACAAGGGAGTCAGTAAATTATACAGAATTAGAAAGGACAGGGAAGTTATCTCGACAAGGGAGTCAGTAAATTATACAGAATTAGAAAGGACAGGGAAGTTATCTCGACAAGGGAGTCAGTAAATTATACAGAATTAGAAAGGACAGGGAAGTTGTCTCGACAAGGGAGTCAGTAAATTATACAGAATTAGAAAGGACAGGGAAGTTATCTCGACAAGGGAGTCAGTAAATTATACAGAATTAGAAAGGACAGGGAAGTTATCTCAACAAGGGAGTCAGTAAATTATACAGAATTAGAAAGGACAGGGAAGTTATCTCGACAAGGGAGTCAGTAAATTATACAGAATTAGAAAGGACAGGGAAGTTATCTCGACAAGGGAGTCAGTAAATTATACAGAATTAGAAAGGACAGGGAAGTTATCTCAACAAGGGAATCAGCTCCAGCTTCAGTTTCCCCAATACAGGGAAAGTTTACAATATATAATGAAAATAGTAGTAACTATTCGAAACTTGACGAAAATGGAATTATGTCATAAATGTGGGTTTCTATATCATGACCCAATAACACATTTAGTACTACAGTGTAACTATACTTTAGAGTTGAGAGATCAACTATGGTGCAGTATAATTAATGTCAAGGATATACTGTTTAGTGTATATTTACACTCCCTATCAGACTCCGAAATGCTACATATATTGATTGGAGGAAAGGTTAACCACAATATTAGCGAAGAAGAGTTGATCGATTTTAGATTAATATCAATCACGTATGTTTACAAAATGTGCAAATATATTTATACTATCAAATGTTTTGTATCCATGTTCTATACTCTCTGTACTCTTCATTTTGGAGGCAATAAAGAGAATAATAATACACCCGAAACTGATAGTGTTTACCTGCCATTGTTTATTTGCTATTCAAGGCCACATGTTCTCAATGTGTCAAAGTTTTCGTGCAAATTGTCATTAACTGACGAACAAACCGATAACACAAGGTTTCAATAAACACAGGTTGATTAAGATTCTGATGGATATCGTCATAGTGTAGGAGCGATATGAAGTCGGACGTGTATGGTCATTACTATACCTACTGGTTTCTGTGTAAATTGTTCTCAATTTGGAAACTCGAACAGTATTTATTTGAATAGACAAAGATTTAAATGGCGCTCACTCTTCATTAACACCTTGTTTTATTCTTTATGTACATATTCAGCAGTCTCCTTGTACATCGGTATTTTATTTGTATTTCGCCGTCGTGTCATTAGAATTGAATTAGATTATGTTTACATGTGAGTCTTTTCCTTGTTTCTTGTATTGAAAAGGCTTTTAATTCCTATATCATTTGTTGAATCTGTAGAAAACGTGTGCTATTTGATGTTGTATACCTAGCATTCTTACCCTGTTTCCTTGACAGGTTGCCTGAACAATCCATGTGTTTACGGCACGTGCGTTGATGGAGCCGGAGGCACATACACATGTACATGTGACAGCGGCTTCACAGGTGTTAATTGTGACACTCTTATTAGTAAGTATATCAATTGCAATGAATTGCTTTGAATGATCAGAATAACAGTTTTCCTATAAACGAATAAACCAAAAATATGTCGGCGGTGTCAGGCTGTCTATAGTATTCCCCGTACCCCTTGTAACAGTCTGTATGTCTATAGTATACCCCCTGTAACAGTCTGTACTGTATGTCTATAGTATCCCCCTGTAACAGTCTGTCATGTATGTCTATAGTATCCCCCTGTAACAGTCTGTATGTCTATAGTATCCCCCCTGTAACACTCTGTATGTCTATAGTATCCCCCTGTAACAGTCTGTATGTCTATAGTATCCCCCTGTAACAGTATATATGTCTATAGTATCCCCCCTGTAACAATCTGTCCTGTATGTCTATTGTTTCCCCCTGTAACAGTCTGTCCTGTATGTCTATAGTATCCCCCCTGTAACAATCTGTCCTGTATGTCTATTGTATCCCCCTGTAACAGTCTGTATGTCTATAGTATCCCCCCTGTAACACTCTGTATGTCTATTGTATCCCCCTGTAACAGTCTGTCCTGTATGTCTATAGTATCCCCCCTGTAACAGTATGTATGTCTATAGTATCCCCCCTGTAACAGTCTGTTCTGTATGTCTATAGTATCCCCCTGTAACAGTCTGTTCTGTATGTCTATAGTATCCCCCTGTAACAGTCTGTATGTCTATAGTATCCCCCTGTAACAGTATATATGTCTATAGTATCCCCCCTGTAACAATCTGTCCTGTATGTCTATTGTATCCCCCTGTAACAGTCTGTCCTGTATGTCTATAGTATCCCCCTGTAACAGTCTGTCTGTCTATAGTATCCCCCTGTAACAGTCTGTCCTGTATGTCTACAGTATCCCCCCGGTAACAGTCTGTCCTGTATGTCTATAGTATCCCCCTGTAACACTCTGTATGTCTATAGTATCCCCCTAACAGTCTGTCCTGTATGTCTACAGTATCCCCCGGTAACAGTCTGTCCTGTATGTCTACAGTATCCCCCTGCTACAGTATTCCTTTCATTCACAGGTGATCCGGACATTACGTGTGATTTTGAACATGGTGAATCGTGTTTCATGGTGGACGTTATGGATGACCAATTCGATTACACGATAAATACGGTTAGTAAGAAATCATGTTTTTGCTTTTAAAGATGATGATTGATTTTAATTGATTGATAAATGTTTAAGTATCAACAATTAAAAATAAAATCGCTTCCTATATTTGTGGTTTGATGACGTTTTCTTACTCTTCCGTACATTGCTATAATGGAATAAATTACACGAAACGGCTTGTTGATATCACAATCTTTGTAAATAAGAAATGTGCCAGTTTGAAACACATTATATAATGGTATGATAACATTTTTATATTAGGGTTCCACGCCATCTGTCGGCACTGGTCCGTCTGCAGCCTACTCAGGAACGCAATATCTATACGCAGAAATGTCCAGCCCACGAGTACAAGGAGATATCGCCAGACTGCAATCCAACCTGAATTTTCCAGGTAATATGACTTTCGGTTATAAATCTCTAATATAAAAACTACAACACTGAAATTGTGAAAATTCAGTCAATGATTGGAATAAAATGAAAAATAAAACTTTATAATAATAGGAAATCATTTTTCAATTTTTCAATTATGCATTAAGTTCAAATCCTTCGAAATATTTTGTAAACGATTGAGTGGGTATTTTTTCTCTCAGTGACATACAGCCAAGTTAATTGTTTTTTGTCGATAATCCTTATAAGTGAAACTTTCTATAATTTATGTTAATTTTGTAAACAACAAATAACGTGAAGAAACATGCTGGTTTTTACAGTGTCAGAGAAATGTCTCTCTTTTTGGTATAACATGAATGGACCGAATGTGGACACGTTGAGGGTCAGGGTTACAGGTACAACCTCCAGCCCATTTGGAGAGGATGGACGTGATCAAGAACATTTTTCTGCAGACGTCGACCAAACGCTTTGGTCAGAAACTGGAAATTCCGGAGATGTTTGGCAAACTACCAAAGTGACGCTTCCAGCATTAACCAATTTAAAAGTAGGCAGAATACTTAAAACTGAAACTGAGAGAGAGACGGGGGGAGAGAAATAAAGAGAGAGAGAGAGAGAGAGAGAGAGAGAGAGAGAGAGAGAGAGAGAGAGAGAGAGAGAGAGAGGTCAATTCAAGTAAGTAATGTCACATTCTCAAAGCTTTCGTTTTTTCGTGTAGACATCAAATATGACATCAAGAGCCTCTAATGTGTTAAGATATAACATGTTATGACATGAAAAGTGTTGGTCCGATTGAAATGTGTGAATATTGATGACCAATTGAAGATTTGTTTGACACATTTTTTCCAAAAAATCCAAGATGGTCGCCCGGCAGGGGAAGTGAATTTAAATGTTGTCCAATTTTGATGAAAATGCACACATAGGAGTTGTTTCATATAAGGACCACACATGTGCATGCAATCAGTTTTGTTTTTACCAAACAACAAACATTGCCATCAAAAATGTTTAAACTTTGAAATTTTAATATTGTTAATGGTGTATGTCTCTTCCAACCCTTCCTATGAAGATAAGTATGTAGGTGTATAAGCGATCTGTTCTCCAGTGTCGCCTGCTATAAGTCTGCTGACTGGACACTGGTTTACCCGAGTCATGCATGACTTCCCCTCTGTTCATGAGTATGATAGGCTGTTGAGTAGAATTATTTCCTCTTTCAGTTAGCATCATTTTGCGAAAGCAAGGAGAGTTTGGGAGACATATGTAACGGTCTGTGTAACAATTATAACTTGTGAATGGTATTCAATTTATGTTGGTAGTCAAATCAGTTAAGTATCATTTGCCTTAATAAATCGCACAAGCAGATAGTTCTAGCTAATCAGTAGGAAGTTAGATAGAATTCTTATATTTTTTCATATTTTTAATAACTTGTGACTTTCATTTCAAATCTTAAAATGGCATTACAGGATTTATGAAAACTGATGTTAAAAAGATATTCCAAACCTCTCATTTTGAAATGTCATTAAGAAAATTGAGAATTTTGATAAAAAAAATATAGAGTATATGATGTTTGTTGAGAGTAAAACATTTCACAATAAAAGTCATGTGGTTAGTAGCAACTTATATATATATTGGATAAACTAATAAATGATAAAAAATATTGTCATTATGTTCTAGATATGACATATTCCCGTTTTCTTGTGCAATATAGAAATTTAACGTGTTTGGGACAACTACCCCCGATCACACTTTGAGAACATGACATTAATTGAATTAAGTTTTATTTACATGGGGTGACGTCAATGAATCTACCGATATTTCCCAGTCTGAAATCAATTAATTTATTATCCATGTTTTCGTTTGTTTATACGTATTGCGTCCTCTATTATCATTATCAAATTTTTCGTTTATTTACATATTTTTGTAGTTTGTTTAAACAAAATTGAAACATTTAATGCACGGTAACCTATTTTAGATAATGATTGAGGCCGTGACAGGACCCAGCTGGAACAGTGACATTGCCATTGATCTGCTACGTATACAACCAGGGGGTTGTGGTAAGTAAAAGTCGACACACTGCTTTCATCCCCATACTGTACATACAACAGGTGTATCATACTGTACATACAACAGGTGTATCATACTGTACATACAACAGGTGTATCATACTGTACATAAAGGTATACAACAGGTGTATCATACTGTACATACAACAGGTGTATCATACTGTACATAAAGGTATACAACAGGTGTATCATACTGTACATACAACAGGCGTATCATACTGTACATACAACAGGTGTATCATAGAATGAAATTTTCATATATGATCTGTTGCAATGCCTTTCTCTAACCGACCACACCTACCATATTCTTATAGACTGTATGATTTGTACACCACCATGAACAAAGCGATGCTTTTTCTGTAGTACCTATTGATACTAAAGTGGTTTTTTTAATCATAATTTCCTAAATATTGTTAGAACAGAAATAGGATTATATTTACATATACATTAATGTCACACTAAAAAGATGGAGAAAATGGACAATTTTGTTATCATCGTTATTTTTATAACTTGAATTATGTAATTTATTATATATGTACGTGTGTTTTAATATGCGTATATTTTATAATTCGTCTTGAGGGAGAGGAATATAGACTTAAACCCATCAGTTTTTAATGGTAATGTTATTGATATATCAGTAGAGGGGTGGCAATGCAAAGAACGGTTAGATAACTAATGATTTGAGGTCCTTCTGACTTCTCACTCTCTCAAAATTACAGGTAAACTCTCCTTTACCTCTCACACTTACAGGTATTTTTTCATTTATAATAAAAAAATATTAAGTAAATTCTTCTTTATTTCTCAAAATTACAGGTAAACTCTGTTATCTCTCAAAATTACAGGTAGTCGTTTGCTTTTTTCGAATTAGAAGTAGAAGGTATGTGCATGTTGTTTATCAAATTACATGTTTATTAATTACCAAATTACTCTCTTATTTGACCACTGATGACCTTGGCGACCTTTTTTGCAGTGACATTACCATGTGATTCTTCACCTTGTTTGAACGGTGGTACATGTGTTAACAACGGAGGTTCGTTCACCTGCCAATGTAAATCAAGCTTCACAGGGATTACGTGTTCGGATCAGGGTAAGAACTTGAACCCTAGTATATCAGCATAGAGATTGTAGGATTCCTAAATTTATGCAAATACCAGTGTGGGGATCCCACGTGACATTTCACTTTCATACACACTTAAAAACAAAATGTCGGCACGCGTTTTAGCTATAGCTTTCTTATATTGCGGCGGATTTCATTAAGAGAATTTTACCTGCAAAAGTGGAACGTTTGGTGGGATAGCGACGTCATTATCTAGTAAAGTGCCGTTTTAAAATAATATTGGATCATTTTGATACATGTCCATACTGGATGAACTGATTCCAAATTTTATATGCAGGATTCTGTTGGTCCCTTTTTGATGCCCTGTGATATTGGTCAGAAAAGCAAAATGGTCGACAGACGACAATCCTTGATTTGACAATTAAAGATAATTATCATTATTTCTTTAGAGGAATGTTCAAATTTCATATCATAAAGAACAAACAATAGAAAAGAGATTAGGAAAAAAATCCAATCTGTAAAGACAAAAGGGCACACTGGATACCTTTTGGCTTGTTTTTATTGTAACCAGTCTCCCACTTTGGATCCCTGTAAGAAATGAAACCATTACTTCTGACCATAGTGCTACTAATGAGGCGCAGTCTTATGTCACCATAACAAAGGCTACCCAGTGTTATGGGTGAAAGTAAAATAGATGGAGAGTTTCTCTTAACAAAATAGTACCGAGAAGTACAAACGACATTAACTCTTTCATTTGTACAGTCAATGCAGCTTAAGGTAATGGTTTTATGGGTTTGATGATAAAAGAATTCAGTCTTATCTGAAAGAAGAACTGTCTGAACGAGATTAAAATGCAATTTGTGAAAACGAACAAAGTGCGAGGAAATAAATTGAATACCGAGGAAGGAGATCTCTGAAAAAAAAAAATGACAAATTTAAAAACAAGGGAAGTAACTCCAAAATTATGGCAACAAAACGATGTTCATGAAAGCAAAATTCCTTGTCAAATGGTATTATCGTGTTTAAATTAACAATGTGTACAATACCCTGACAGGTTCAATGTGTCGAAATCAGTTGATCCAGTGCGACTTAAAAACTGTACTATAATTAAAACTAAAGCGGACATGTTATTAAACACACTTGTTGGTACTTTGCTCTACATTTCAGTAATATCTGTTGCAGTACAAGAGAGTTAAAGCAAAAAAAAAAAAAAATAAATACAAACCTGAATTGGACTGCGACATTTTGCTTTGAAGGCTTGTTCCATACAAATAAAAGCGAATTATGTACACACAATGTATATAACATACAACAGAATGTTTTGTTAGTTTCTTAAAGTTGTAAAACCACTGTAACACATTTTACCTCCAGTCCCTGGTGCAACTTTGACATGCGACGCCGAGACAGCAACTGATTGCTTTCTGAGCAATTCTAACGATGGGACTTTCGGATGGACAAGGATTTCTGTAAGTATTATGTATTACTTGCACCATTAAACTTACATTACACTTTCGACCAATAATCATATCTAAAGACATTGCACCAGAAACGTCTGTGAAATTTTGCCTCTGTGTGTATTTATCAAAGTGATGCCTAGTTATATAAATTACTTCAATTAATCCCTAGTAGGAATAATAAGCCTCTCTATTAACCACAAAAAACTGCGAAAAGAACACGAATACATTAGTGAAGTTTAAGCGAAACTCAAACATCGAAAACTGGAAATTCAAATTTGTCCAACATGGTGCAGATTCTATTCGCAAAAATGCTACCAATCATGAAGAATTAACGGATTCACAGGTGGCGCTGTATCTCTGAAATCATGCTTGAATCCGTTTTGATAAAACCCTGGCTGTTTCGAGGACAAAAAAAACTGAATTCAGAAATGTGAAAAAACAGGCACAAATGGATATCTGCGTAGTAGAGGGGAATAGACAGTATAACAGATGACCCGATTCCGATAAATGCTTTTAACAACGTAGCCATGTTCAAAACAGGGTATGCTAATTGGATCCAAAACCGGCATTTTGTGTAGAAACTGAAATCAGAAACAAAGGAATGAAGATCAGTTAATCAATACAGCTTGTGTTGTTGATGAAGCAGAAGACATTCTTCGGAACTATGTGGAACACATTGGCATATTCTCTTAGTAGTTCTATTCTTTGTACCTTAACCTTTCGTGTGTTGCTTTTGAGTTCGAATTCAGATTATGTTGAAATGTAGACATCTCCTCGTCAGTACCATATGACATAAATGCTTTGAAAGGACTGAAACACATTCTGCCAGATCTAGAGAGAAGAATCGATAAATTACGAGGATTTATATTTTACTGTGACAAACATTCATTACAAAATTATCTCTCAAGTGAATCCCTTGGATGGAAAAAATATACCTTTGTCAAGGACATCGGTTTATATCGGTTATTAGCGATGACGACGAGATATCTTCCCAAGTTCTGACGTCATATTTATCATATTCGTCGATTGCAGATAATACTAAGGTGTTTAAAAATCAAAGTATTGAATCACTTTCAGAATATTAGTACCATTTGGGGAAACAAAACTGATAATAATTAGTGAAATTACTTTATCTCTAGAAAATAACACCGGTTTTCTCATTGGCTTTCAAATATAGCATTGGTCATTACGAAAACAAATGTCAATATTTTTGTAACGATTCGTTGAGTGAGGACATTTTTAAATATTGATTCAAAATTAATACAGAGATATTTTCACTGCAAATATTCGATGATTTTACCACTTGTACACAGCTCACCAGAGATAAAAAATGACAGATATCTTTGCAATAGTTCACTGGTTTTATAAAACACACCCGTCGTAATTATCTATATGGAAGATGCACTGAAGAATATCCCTGGATTTACAAGTGAGCTGTGAACATCATATCCTTGGATTTACAAGTGAGCTGTGAACATCATATCCCTGGATTTACAAGTGAGCTGTGAACATCATATCCCTGGATTTACAAGTGAGCAGTGAACATCATATCCCTGGATTTACAAGTGAGCTGTGAACATCATATCCGTGGATTAACAAGTGAGCTGTGAACATCATATCCGTGGATTTACAAGTGAGCTGAGAACATCATATCCGTGGATTTACAAGTGAGCTGTGAACATCATATCCGTGGATTTGTTATGTGCACATGTAAGGTCCATAACACAGCTGTTACGTTATGTAAACTCAGAGCAGAACGTGAACTTGACATACTTTTAAAATCTTTCTATATTGATTTAAATATATTTTATTATTAGTATGAGATAAATGGATCAGAGACAAGTTCTAGCAACTTATGAACCCTTCTCCATAAATGAAATTACAAATAATTAACATACTGCACGTGACACATTTATACTATAAATATGAAGATAAGTAATTCGCAGACGTACAATTGTAAGTTTAAATCATTTTGTCAAAAGGAGGGAAAAATGAGATGATAGGATAGAAAGAAAAGAAGAGAAAAAGATATAGTATAAATGTTATATTAATTCAGTATCAATTCAGTGCCGACTACAAACAGTTCATAATTAGGTATTGTTAAAACGCTTTGTTTGTTTGATAAACTTTTGAACAGATTTAACAATATTACAATTAGTTTCATAGGAGTAAGCACCACTGTCACCACATAAGATAGTCTCTTTATAAAAATGTACGTCTAAATCATACAAAGTATCAAACAATATGCGTCTATTATTAGAAAGTAGAAAATCATATGGCCAATTCACATCCTTATGAAGAGTTCTGTCTCCCTTTTGTGTAGATTTGTAACTTTGTTTAATGTAGGGGGAGACACCATCTTTTGACACCGGTCCTCTCACTGCCCAAGTGGGTCATTATTACCTGTACATCGAGGCGTCCAGTCCACGAGTCCCAGGAGACACAGCCATACTTACAACATCTTTCAACATCGCAGGTAATATTTATTTGTAAACTTTGTAATCTGTAGATGTATGTTGCAACAGAGAAGAAAGACAAAAATATGAAAAAGACACAAGTATTTCCTATTTTCTGTTTACATCACTTACCAGATTTAGTAACAAAATAAAAATACAAACGTGTACTTCTGGAACATGATTATAGCCAGATGTATGATAAATAACACGTGTACTTCTGGAACATGATTATAGCCAGATGTATGATAAATAACACGTGTACTTCTGGAACATGATTATAGCCAGATGTAGATAAATAACATGTGTACTTCTGGAACATGATTATAGCCAGATGTATGATAAATAACACGTGTACTTCTGGAACATGATTATAGCCAGATGTATGATAAATAACATGTGTACTTCTGGAACATGATTATAGCCAGATGTATGATAAATAACATGTGTACTTCTGGAACATGATTATAGCCAGATGTATGATAAATAACACGTGTACTTCTGGAACATGATTATAGCCAGATGTATGATAAATAACACGTGTACTTCTGGAACATGATTATAGCCAGATGTAGATAAATAACATGTGTACTTCTGGAACATGATTATAGCCAGATGTATGATAAATAACACGTGTACTTCTGGAACATGATTATAGCCAGATGTATGATAAATAACATGTGTACTTCTGGAACATGATTATAGCCAGATGTATGATAAATAACATGTGTACTTCTGGAACATGATTATAGCCAGATGTATGATAAATAACACGTGTACTTCTGGAACATGATTATAGCCAGATGTATGATAAATAACACGTGTACTTCTGGAACATGATTATAGCCAGATGTATGATAAATAACACGTGTACTTCTGGAACATGATTATAGCCAGATGTAGATAAATAACACGTGTACTTCTGGAACATGATTATAGCCAGATGTATGATAAATAGCACGTGTACTTCTGGAACATGATTATAGCCAGATGTATGATAAATAACACGTGTACTTCTGGAACATGATTATAGCCAGATGTATGATAAATAACACGTGTACTTCTGGAACATGATTATAGCCAGATGTAGATAAATACCACGCACGTGTACTTCTGGAACATGATTATAGCCAGATGTAGATAAATAACACGTGTACTTCTGGAACATGCTTATAGCCAGATGTATGATAAATAGCACGTGTACTTCTGGAACATGATTATAGCCAGATGTAGATAAATAACACGTGTACTTCTGGAACATGATTATAGCCAGATGTAGATAAATAACACGTGTACTTCTGGAACATGATTATAGCCAGATGTAGATAAATAACATGTGTACTTCTGGAACATGATTATAGCCAGATGTATGATAAATAACACGTGTACTTCTGGAACATGATTATAGCCAGATGTATGATAAATAACACGTGTACTTCTGGAACATGATTATAGCCAGATGTATGATAAATAACACGTGTACTTCTGGAACATGATTATAGCCAGATGTATGATAAATAACATGTGTACTTCTGGAACATGATTATAGCCAGATGTATGATAAATAACATGTGTACTTCTGGAACATGATTATAGCCAGATGTATGATAAATAACACGTGTACTTCTGGAACATGATTATAGCCAGATGTATGATAAATGGTACTTCTTCTGGAACATGATTATAGCCAGATGTAGATAAATAACACGTGTACTTCTGGAACATGATTATAGCCAGATGTAGATAAATAACACGTGTACTTCTGGAACATGATTATAGCCAGATGTATGATAAATAACACGTGTACTTCTGGAACATGATTATAGCCAGATGTATGATAAATAACATGTGTACTTCTGGAACATGATTATAGCCAGATGTATGATAAATAACACGTGTACTACTGATTATAGCCAGATGTATGATAAATAACACGTGTACTTCTGGAACATGATTATAGCCAGATGTATGATAAATAACATGTGTACTTCTGGAACATGATTATAGCCAGATGTATGATAAATAACATGTGTACTTCTGGAACATGATTATAGCCAGATGTATGATAAATAACACGTGTACTTCTGGAACATGATTATAGCCAGATGTATGATAAATAACATGTGTACTTCTGGAACATGATTATAGCCAGATGTATGATAAATAACACGTGTACTTCTGGAACATGATTATAGCCAGATGTATGATAAATAACACGTGTACTTCTGGAACATGATTATAGCCAGATGTATGATAAATAACACGTGTACTTCTGGAACATGATTATAGCCAGATGTAGATAAATAACACGTGTACTTCTGGAACATGATTATAGCCAGATGTATGATAAATAACGTGTACTTCTGGAACATGATTATAGCCAGATGTATGATAAATAACACGTGTACTTCTGGAACATGATTATAGCCAGATGTAGATAAATAACATGTGTACTTCTGGAACATGATTATAGCCAGATGTATGATAAATAACATGTGTACTTCTGGAACATGATTATAGCCAGATGTATGATAAATAACACGTGTACTTCTGGAACATGATTATAGCCAGATGTATGATAAATAACATGTGTACTTCTGGAACATGATTATAGCCAGATGTATGATAAATAACACGTGTACTTCTGGAACATGATTATAGCCAGATGTATGATAAATAACATGTGTACTTCTGGAACATGATTATAGCCAGATGTATGATAAATAACACGTGTACTTCTGGAACATGATTATAGCCAGATGTATGATAAATAACACGTGTACTTCTGGAACATGATTATAGCCAGATGTAGATAAATAACATGTGTACTTCTGGAACATGATTATAGCCAGATGTATGATAAATAACGTGTACTTCTGGAACATGATTATAGCCAGATGTAGATAAATAACATGTGTACTTCTGGAACATGATTATAGCCGGATGTATGATAAATAACATGTGTACTTCTGGAACATGATTATAGCCAGATGTAGATAAATAACATGTGTACTTCTGGAACATGATTATAGCCAGATGTATGATAAATAGCACGTGTACTTCTGGAACATGATTATAGCCAGATGTAGATAAATAACATGTGTACTTCTGGAACATGATTATAGCCAGATGTATGATAAATAACATGTGTACTTCTGGAACATGATTATAGCCAGATGTATGATAAATAACACGTGTACTTCTGGAACATGATTATAGCCAGATGTAGATAAATAACACGTGTACTTCTGGAACATGATTATAGCCAGATGTATGATAAATAACACGTGTACTTCTGGAACATGATTATAGCCAGATGTATGATAAATAACATGTGTACTGCTGGAACATGATTATAGCCAGATGTATGATAAATAACACGTGTACTTCTGGAACATGATTATAGCCAGATGTATGATAAATAACACGTGTACTTCTGGAACATGATTATAGCCAGATGTATGTTAAATAACACGTGTACTTCTGGAACATGATTATAGCCAGATGTATGATAAATAACATGTGTACTTCTGGAACATGATTATAGCCAGATGTATGATAAATAACACGTGTACTTCTGGAACATGATTATAGCCAGATGTATGATTATAGCCAGATGTATGATAAATAACACGTGTACTTCTGGAACATGATTATAGCCAGATGTATGATAAATAACACGTGTACTTCTGGAACATGATTATAGCCAGATGTATGATAAATAACACGTGTACTTCTGGAACATGATTATAGCCAGATGTATGATAAATAGCACGTGTACTTCTGGAACATGATTATAGCCAGATGTATGATAAATAGCACGTGTACTTCTGGAACATGATTATAGCCAGACTTATGATTCACTGCCACTCATTTCACAATGGAAATAACAAGAGGTCTTTAAAGTGTGGAAACCTTATTTATTTATTTTTTTATTTTTTCATTAAGGTGTTTTCTGTGATATCATTATCAAACCGTAATTTGAAAAGTAAACATTTTGATTTTGGTGTTGTTTTAAAAGTTTTTTAACAAAACTATAAAGTTAGAGAGTGATTAAAATTACTCACTATTATTATCAATTTCATGCACAAATACATCGACGATGATTTTCATATTTATGGCATTACATATTCTTTAATAGCATATCCAGCACGAACACAAGTAGATAATATTGATTGATTTTACAAGGTAATGCCCACTAATTTGTATTTCTAAAAAGTATTAACTATAAGAGGTCAAACTATTTATACAACATATCATGCCTAACTAGCAATCTCGGAATTACTGAAAGTAGCACATTGCAATTGTACATTGGACTCAATTCGCAATAAACTAACACATATTTTTAAGAAAAAAATTGGATATGAACATCATTAAAAATATAATCTCATGTTACATACCTGAACTGGTCAACAAACTGAATTTGAATATGACAAAAATCTTATGATGCATGAATTAGACAATTTAACACTATGATCATGTAGGCAATTTCCAGCTGTATATCAGTACAGCATTTCAAATATTCCTTTTGTGAATGTGGTGGTGGGTGTGTTATGGTTAGGCACACTGGAATTTCATTTCAAATATTCTTTTTGTGGATGTCGTGGTGGTGATGTTATGGTTAGGCAGACTGGAATTTCTTAAATAGATGACGTAGATCGTGAATCTGATGCCCAAGAGGGGCACTAGTAGAAATTGTCGTCCTTCAATTGTGTGACAATGTCCCAAAATATCAAAATGAGATATATATCTGGAAATTCTCGACGTGAACATCATGGCAAATTTTTAAATACATGGATACGAATCTTGATATACAAATTCAATATGTTATATATTTCTTACTGTAAGGTTAAAGAGTGTGAGTATGACTTGTTTGTGTGTGTATAGATTGGAGAAGGAGTGTCTGTATATTATTGATAATCTCTATATCGCTATATATGTAGATGATGATGATGATGATGATGATGATGATGATGATGATGATGATGATGATGATGATGGCGATGATGATGATGATGATGATGATGATGATGATGATGATGATGATGATGATGGTGGTGGTGGTGATAATGGTGAGGATTCATGTAAAAACATGTTTATATATATATCAATTAAACGTTAACATTACTGTTTAACGTTTCCTAAGTTCTGAGGAAATGGATATATTTAACCATTAGGTGGACCATATGTCACTACTTCGTTTTGTATCTATATCTGTGGGGTTTCTTTCCAGAACAAGCTCAATGCTTGCAGTTTTGGCTACACATGTATGGATCAACTATGGGAACATTTACAATTTACAAGGAAAGTGACGTCACCGCCACTCCGGAAGTGTTGTTTACTCGATCTGGTGATCAAGGCAACAATTGGATCCATCACACTGTGGACATTCCAGCGGAAGCTGGATTAAAAGTAAGTATATATGTTAAGCAATCGGTTATAGTATTGAATTATAAGATTTATCCGAAGTCTAGTAATAATATTGGCTCTAAATTTTACAGTGTTATCTGGCATATACAAACTTTTATTTTACAGCTTGAGCTTCATGGCATCGTCGGTTCTTCTTTCACCTCTGATGTGTGTTTGGACAATATTACCTTATCGGCCGGCACATGTAAGTTATTCTTAATATTTTGGAAGAGTAATAATGTTAGTGATTAAATTTAGCTCATCTATTAATGGATATCAATAACTATATAATGACTTGTTGATATGATATTATTGAAGGAAACCGTTAATGCTAGGGTTATGATAGAACACCTATATCACATGGTGGTGTGAAATAGAAGAAAAATATTCATATTATTATTTTTGTTCAATCGAAACAAGTGTAGAAGGATGCTTTCTAATCATTGAATGGGCCAATTTCTCTATAAGACAAAAAGAGCCATGAAATCTCACTTGGTTAGAGCGTTCACCTGCGCAGCCTCATGTGAAGACACGAGTTACGCTGTGTGACATTGCGTACCCACAACGGTTTGTATCTCAGGATGCTTAGAAACAGGTCAGATTGCTTTGGATGTCGTGTCTGTCGCAAATATGTTCAGTGAGGAAGTCATCCACTACTTCAAGGAAACCCCTTTCTCAAAATGTCCCTAGTTGTTCTCGGGGCGATAAAACCAACAAACAGTTGTTGCCAGATGAAACGAAGGTTGAATAAGTAGGTTTTCACCAGGTCCTTTTTGTGTTTATTGCAGGTTATTAAAAATGTGTTAAATAGCCAATTCAAATCAGCATTGTCTTGTTGTCTTCATAATTATTGGATGTCAATGATTATGTATCATGCAAATATATCGTGTTTATGGCGTGTTGATAGAGTATATACTTGAGTATAGATAGGTTTTACATGGTACAAAGTGTTCCCATAATTAACAGTGTTTTGTCTTTATTTAGGTGATGGCAGTACAACTACACCGTCCACAACAACCACTCCCACCACTACAACAACGCCCACCACTACAACAACGCCCACCACAACAACCACACCCACCACAACAACAACGCCCACCACAACAACCACACCCACCACAACAACCACACCCACCACTACAACAACACCCACCACAACAACCACACCCACCACAACAACAACGCCCACCACAACAACCACACCCACCACAACAACCACACCCACCACAACAACAACGCCCACCACAACAACCACACCCACCACAACAACCACACCCACCACTACAACAACGCCCACCACAACAACCACACCCACCACAACAACCACACCCACCACAACAACAACGCCCACCACAACAACCACACCCACCACAACAACCACACCCACCACTACAACAACGCCCACCACAACAACCACACCCACCACTACCACCACGCCCACCACAACAACCACGCCCACTACAACTGGACCGCCTGGCCCTTGTAACCCAGATCCTTGTCAGAATGGTGCAACATGTTATGACTTGATTGGGTTAGAGTATTTGTGTGACTGTATTTTGGGATTTGTCGGCAGAAACTGTTCCATCGGTATGTTGTTAATGGAAATATCTTAAGTAATAATGAACTACGTTTTCCGCTTGAAAAAAAGTTCAATTTCCCAATTCGACGTAAAACCCCAACGAAGCATTGTAATGCTTTCTTATCGACTGGTTACTTATTTGTACATGGTGAGCCTTACTAAACAGTGGATTTTTGCCCTTGCGATATATGTAGTTGTCATTTGGTGTGTAGTCAAATTGTTTTTCACACATTGAACTTTATGTATCTTGATTAAACATTTCCCAATAAAGGTAAAACCAATATTGGAGAGCTTTATTCCAGTGGGAATTTTATAAATCTGAAACTGTTGATGAGAATTAAAATATGATCGTCATAATGATGTTGTTTCCTTGTGTAATGTGTTTGATGGTCGTTAGTATGTCTGTTGGTTCCTTTGTTGTGTACCTTGTTCTCATTTGAGAACGTGACATTACTTATTTAGATTGACCAATATTTGATGAAACAGAAGACGTTTACCTTTGCTTATTCCCCTTGTACGCTTTTGTGAATCTCCATCTAAAACCTACTTTTGTTCATATTTTGCCGAATTTCAGTTTGAATTAGGATTCTGTTGACCTAAAGGTGTTTTTTTCTATGTTTTAACATTACCTCCAGTGAAATTTTCATCCTGATATTGCAGCATTAACTCTGGGACCAGTATTTGACTGTGACTTTGAATCTGGTAGCTGTTTTTTGGAGAATGATCTAACAGCTAATTTTACATTTACGGCACGTTCGGTAAGTAACAATATCTAATAGTAATTAGTGGATTTATATAATCATAGTTAAAGTAGTGCGTACAGTGAATCTAAACGTCTGCATATTATGTAAAGTCGGTAAAGAAAATGAATAGAAATCGTCCCATTCGTTATACATAATGGAAATGACAATTTTGTCTACCGAATACATTGCCTTTTCCTAGCAATCACACACAAATAAATATGATTCTATAGAAGACTGATATTTATGCACAATTTTGCCTTTTCCTAGCAATCACACACAAATGAATATGATTCTATAGAAGACTGGTGTTTATGCACAATTTTGCCTTTTCCTAGCAATCACACACAAATGAATATGATTCTATAGAAGACTGGTGTTTATGCACAATTTTGCCTTTTCCTAGCAATCACACACAAATAGATATGATTCTATAGAAGACTGATATTTATGCACAATTTTGCCTTTTCCTAGCAATCACACACAAATAAATATGATTCTATAGAAGACTGATATTTATGCACAATTTTGCCTTTTCTTAGCAATCACACACAAATAAATATGATTCTATAGAAGACTGATATTTATGCACAATTTTGCCTTTTCCTAGCAATCACACACAAATGAATATGATTCTATAGAAGACTGGTGTTTATGCACAATTTTGCCTTTTCCTAGCAATCACACACAAATAAATATGATTCTATCGAAAACTGATATGCACACCTTTTCAACAAGAGATATTTTGAGTACCGGAGAAGCCGTATCCTGCAGTGCTTTCTATCCTTTTATTGTGGTGCTTACACTTTGGTTATGTGATGGAGCAAACCCGAGAAGGTTGGGTAGAAAATTCAAAAACTCTGTTATTATTTTGAGAACATAGGTTGTAACTTGATTTAGTGAATAAATAGATGATAATGGACTTCAGTTCCTATTATGCTGGTGTTCAGTCTTCCCTGTTTCTAATTGATGTGATGATATATAGTTTGTTCCTATAATCACGATTTCTAAAATGTCTAACAAATAAAAGATATAAACTTTATTTATTTTACAACAATCGTGAAACAAGTTTTTCCAACCTATAATAATCACTTTTTTTGGCTCAAATGGAAACGTGTGAAAGGTCTTTCTGTGGGAGTTAACCGGAGTACACAGGGAAAACCCACGTGGTCGGGCCGATGATCCCATACCTTCACACGTCCATTCCGTGAATCGAACCCTAGACGTCTAGGTGAAAGATGAGTGTGTTACCACTGCGCAACCCGACCATAACAAATGTTGACAGAAACATATGGAGATTCTTGAAAGGAAGATTAATGAAGACTGTATTTTTTAAGGGTTCTACTTATGATTGCTATGGAAAATATATTTTTCTGATACACTTCACAAATGTGATGGATCAAGTTATTATTAGCTGGTTTTGTTGTTCCTTCACCTACTCAGTATGTCATCATGGAATTCTTGCCGACCGCACCACAACTTCTAAGATATTTGTCATTTGTATTTTATCATTAAAGGGAAGCACGCCGTCAGGAAACACTGGTCCTGCTGGCGCTGCTAAGGGCAGCAACTACATTTTTGCGGAAACGTCATTTCCACGTCAACAAGGAGACAGAGCTAGACTTATTTCTAACTTCCCTACATCAAGTAAGTTTTCAACCCCTATACCTATAGTCTACATATACTACAAATATCAATTTCATTAACGCACACGAGAAATATTATAATTATTATATTGAAATATAATATAATATAATATTATGATATAGTTATATTATAAATGCATATAACATGTTATTTCACAGGTGAACAAAACATAGTTTAAGGCCTGTGCATCTTTACATGCACAAATATATGAATGATATTGACAGGGATAAAATAGAAGTTAACAGGGGCGCGGCATCTAACTGTAATAATGGTGTAATAAGGGGCGAACGCTTTTGTCCGGTTTCACTTTATCTTTATTTGTATCTAGATTAAGACAAAGACCCCTGACAATGGGTCAAGGGTCCCTATGGTCTTGTACCAATATTTTTCCGTCTGTACCATGAAAGATCTATTGTCCACTAAATCCCCGCCAATGACCAACAAAGACCATCAAACAAGAACGAGACAATACCTGGGCACACATATACGTATAACGTCACATAGGTAAACTGGACATGCGTACACAACATTTATACATGCACAAGTGGTTAAGAAGACGACGCGGAAAAACCAACGACGCGACGCACCAATAACGGCGGTACAGAATTAATAAAAACGACCCCATAACGGTTATCACAAGGAATGCAAATCATTATCAGAATCATCAGAGCTCTGTAACGTCTACGGTATCATCACAATGGATGGCCATTTTTATTAAAGATACAGTATTTTTTTTTACATATTTCCTCCCTGTACTTTTCCAAGGGCAGAGACAACATATTTTTATAATGGAAATGTTGTGATTTTCGAGCGTTCTTTTTTTTCGTTATTTTCAAGGGTGCACGTTAAAGAATAAATGCAGGGACATTAAATATTGGTAGAGAAACCTTCTCTCTTTGTAATAACACGCATGATATGACTACATCTATTGCTACTACATCTTTTGACGACATCATGAAAAATTAAACCATAGATAGAAAATATATCATTATGTTTACAGGCGGTACCTTTGGCTCCTCATCTTCAAGCGACCGCTGCCTCACATTCAAATACTCTATGTATGGTTCTGGTATGGGAGAGCTGTTTGTATCAACAATTTCTGGAGCAAGTGCCGACTGGGTCCGTTCTGGTGATCAGGGACCAGGATGGAAAGCAGGAGCTATTGATATACCAGCATTGTCAGATCCACAGGTGTCGTGTTTTACTGATCATGAATTCTAATTTCATATGAAAATTAAAATTTCATGTTTCAATATCCTTAAATTTTGAGAACTATTGAAAAGCAATCAGCTTTAAATTTTCTGCTTAAAATCAGAAAAAAATAATAACAAAAAGTAGATTGAGACTGATATTTTTTTCAAATAATATAATTTCATGTGTATATTTGCAGATCACTTTTGAGGCTGTTCGCGGTTCTAGCGCTGAAGGAGATATAGCATTGGATGATATTTTGTTAACTGATGGTTCCTGTGGTAAGTGATCTACCCTACATTTTGTCGTGCTCTGGAGATTTTACTGACGAACTTCAGAAAGTATGCAGTGAAATTGTGACACCTTGAATACTCTTACCTATTGCCTTTTGATAGAGGATAATATGCTATTTATAATTACAAATGTATGTATATCTGCCTCATTTGGCTTTTTGTTTACTTTAAAAACTTTATCTATATTCCTGATTTATCATTGATGTTTTCATATGTAAATGTGAAACATGGCTGACCTTGACCTTCAGATGATTTTAAGAGTCATTTATGACATTTGGTATGTACAACAAATGCCTTAACTCCGATTCTGGTTTAAGTGTTGGGAACTGTATGACCTTGACCTTTGTGTTTTATGTGTCGTACCTGACCTTATCTTTATGCTGTTATGATTGTAATCCTTGTTTCGATTGTGGAATCTGTGTGACCTTGACCTTTATTATTTCACGTCCTTATCCTTGACCTATTTTGTTATTCTATCATAGGTTGTACTCCAAATCCTTGTTGGAATGGTGGATTCTGTATAACCGTTAACGCCAACTTTGACACGGAGTGTCTCTGCTTGTCTGGCTACACAGGATCATTATGCGAGAACATCGGTATGTCATAGCAACACAGGTTTAACCGATGTATGAGAATATCATTCATGAGCAAAATATAAATCCTGATCAAAGCAAATATGATAAACTTTTAATGGTGACAATAATGTCGACCTTCCTCGGCCGGAGGTACCATGAATGATGCGTTTAGTAGATTAGTAGGTCTAGTACTTTTTCAACTCTGCCAACAACTTACATTCTTAACTGAAGTTAAAATCTGTGTTCATTTTTATCACAGGTTTCACTGAAGTGATAACGGACTCTGTCATCACATATAAACATCCTATTTTCAGTGTAATGACAGACGTAATTTTATTTGTTATTACTCATTTGTAATGTGACCCAGTGGATCTGTGATTAGCTGAAGGTTTCTGTGGTTTCTTGCGTGACGTCATAATTTTATGGCGTCGTAAGCATTGTGACGTGAACGAAAAACTTCTCAATGACCCTGACTAATTACTCTCAGCCCCGTTCCACCTAATATAACATTGTTGCTAACCGATAAGGTTACCAATTAGGTTATGTTGCTAACCATCCAGGTAATTTTTCTAACTTACAGGTTTTGTAACTAGCTAATCAGGTAATGTCGCTTAATAATGTACAAATACGGTAGCGTTGCTAACCAATTAATTAACTTCTCCAGTTCCAGGTGAAGACGTCATCTGTACATTTGAGGAATTCGCGCCATGTTTCCTACGTCAGGCCGATGATGATGACTTTGACTGGGAAGTAATCAGTGTAAGTACATGTTTATACAATGTAGCATGTGACTTTGACTGGGGAACTATCAGTGTCATGTTTATACAATGTAAACACATCACGTGACTTTGACTGGGGAGTTATCAGTGTCATGTTTATACAATGTAAACACATCACGTGACTTTGACTGGGGAGTTATCAGTGACATGTTTATACAATGTAAACACATCACGTGACTTTGACTGGGGAGTTATCAGTGTCATGTTTATACAATGTATACACATCACGTGACTTTGACTGGGGAGTTATCAGTGTCATGTTAATACAATGTATATACATCATGTGACTTTGACTGGGGAGTTATAGGTGTCATGTTTATACAATGTATCATGTGACTTTGACTGGCGAGTTATCAGTGTCATGTTTATACAATGTATATATATCACGTGACTTTGACTGGGAATTAGCAGTGCCATGTTAATACAATGCATACGCATCACGTGACTTTGACTGGGGAGTTATCAGTGTCATGTTTATACAATGTATATATATCACATGACTTTGACTGGGAAGTTAGCAGTGCCATGTTAATACAATGCATACGCATCACGTGACTTTGACTGGGGAGTTATCAGTGTCATGTTTATACAATGTAAACACATCACGTGACTTTGACTGGGGAGTTATCAGTGTCATGTTTATACAATGTAAACACATCACGTGACTTTGACCGGGGAGTTATCAGTGTCATGTTTATACAATGTATACACATCACGTGACTTTGACTGGGGAGTTATCAGTGTCATGTTAATACAATGTATATACATCACGTGACTTTGACTGGGGAGTTATAGGTGTCATGTTTATACAATGTATCATGTGACTTTGACTGGTGAGTTATCAGTGTCATGTTTATACAATGTATATATATCACGTGACTTTGACTGGGAAGTTAGCAGTGCCATGTTAATACCATGCATACGCATCACGTCACTTTGACTGGGGAGTTATCAGTGACATGTTTTATACAATGTATATACATCACGTGACTTTGACTGGAGAGTTATAGGTGTCATGTTAATACAATGTATACACATCACGTGACTTTGACTGGGAAGTTAGCAGTGCCATGTTAATACAATGCATACGCATCACGTGACTTTGACTGGGGAGTATCAGTGACATGTTTTATACAATGTATATACATCACGTGACTTTGACTGGGGAGTTATCAGTGACATGTTTATACAATGTAAACACATCACGTGACTTTGATTGGAGAGTTATCAGTGTCATGTTTATACAATGTATACACATCACTTGACTTTGACTGTGGAGTTATCAGTGTCATGTTAATACAATGTATATACATCATGTGACTTTGACATTATAGTTTATACAATGTATCATGTGACTTTGACTGGCGAGTTATCAGTGTCATGTTTATACAATGTATATATATCACGTGACTTTGACTGGGAATTAGCAGTGCCATGTTAATACAATGCATACGCATCACGTGACTTTGACTGGGGAGTTATCAGTGTCATGTTTATACAATGTATATATATCACATGACTTTGAAAGGAAAGTTAGCAGTGCCATGTTAATACAATGCATACGCATCACGTGACTTTGACTGGGGAGTTATCAGTGTCATGTTTATACAATGTAAACACATCACGTGACTTTGACTGGGGAGTTATCAGTGTCATGTTTATACAATGTAAACACATCACGTGACTTTGACCGGGGAGTTATCAGTGTCATGTTTATACAATGTATACACATCACGTGACTTTGACTGGGGAGTTATCAGTGTCATGTTAATACAATGTATATACATCACGTGACTTTGACTGGGGAGTTATAGGTGTCATGTTTATACAATGTATCATGTGACTTTGACTGGTGAGTTATCAGTGTCATGTTTATACAATGTATACACATCACGTGACTTTGACTGGGGAGTTATCAGTGCCATGTTAATACCATGCATACGCATCACGTCACTTTGACTGGGGAGTTATCAGTGACATGTTTTATACAATGTATATACATCACGTGACTTTGACTGGAGAGTTATAGGTGTCATGTTAATACAATGTATACACATCACGTGACTTTGACTGGGAAGTTAGCAGTGCCATGTTAATACAATGCATACGCATCACGTGACTTTGACTGGGGAGTATCAGTGACATGTTTTATACAATGTATATACATCACGTGACTTTGACTGGGGAGTTATCAGTGACATGTTTATACAATGTAAACACATCACGTGACTTTGATTGGAGAGTTATCAGTGTCATGTTTATACAATGTATACACATCACTTGACTTTGACTGTGGAGTTATCAGTGTCATGTTAATACAATGTATATACATCACGTGACTTTGACTGGGGAGTTATCAGTATCATGTTTATACAATGTATATATATCACGTGATTTTGACTGGGGAGTTATCAGTGACATGTTTTATACAATGTATATACATCATGTGACTTTGACTGGGGAGTTATAGGTGTCATGTTTATACAATGTATCATGTGACTTTGACTGGCGAGTTATCAGTGTCATGTTTATACAATGTATATATCACGTGATTTTGACTGGGAAGTTAGCAGTGCCATGTTAATACAATGCATACGTATCACGTCACTTTGACTGGGGAGTTATCAGTGACATGTTTTATACAATGTATATACATCAGGTGACTTTGACTGGAGAGTTATCAGTGTCATGTTAATACAATGTATACACATCACGTGACTTTGACTGGGGAGTTATAGGTGTCATGTTTATACAATGTATCATGTGACTTTGACTGGCGAGTTATCAGTGACATGTTTTATACAATGTATATACATCATGTGACTTTGACTGGCGAGTTATCAGTCATGTTTATGCAATGTGTATATATATCACATGACTTTGACTGGGAAGTTAGCAGTGCCATGTTAATACAATGCATACGCATCACGTGACTTTGACTAGGGAGTTATCAGTGACATGTTTTATACAATGTATATACATCACGTGACTTTGACTGGGGAGTTATCAGTGACATGTTTATACAATGTATACACATCACGTGACTTTGACTGGCGAGTTATCAGTGTCATGTTTATACAATGTATATATATCACGTGATTTTGACTGGGAAGTTAGCAGTGCCATGTTAATACAATGCATACGCATCACGTGACTTTGACTGGGGAGTTATCAGTGACATGTTTTATACAATGTATATACATCACGTGACTTTGACTGGGGAGTTATCAGTGACATGTTTATACAATGTATACACATCACGTGACTTTGACTGGCGAGTTATCAGTGTCATGTTTATACAATGTATATATATCACGTGATTTTGACTGGGAAGTTAGCAGTGCCATGTTAATACAATGCATACGCATCACGTGACTTTGACTGGGGAGTTATCAGTGACATGGTTTATACAATGTATATACATCACGTGACTTTGACTGGAGAGAAATTAGTGTCATGTTAATACAATGTATACACATCACGTGACTTTGACTGGGTAGTTATAGCTGTCATGTTTATACAATGTATACACATCACGTGACTTTGACTGTGGAGTTATCAGTGTCATGTTAATACAATGTATATACATCATGTGACTTTGACTGGGGAGTTATAGGTGTCATGTTTATACAATGTATCATGTGACTTTGGCGAGTTATCAGTGTCATGTTTATACAATGTATATATATCACGTGATTTTGACTGGGAAGTTAGCAGTGCCATGTTAATACAATGCATACGCATCACGTCACTTTGACTGGGGAGTTATCAGTGACATGTTTTATACAATGTATATACATCACGTGACTTTGACTGGAGAGTTATCAGTGTCATGTTAATACAATGTATACACATCACGTGACTTTGACTGGGAAGTTAGCAGTGCCATGTTAATACAATGTATATACATCACGTGACTTTGACTGGGGAGTTATCAGTGACATGTTTATACAATGTATACACATCACGTGACTTTGACTGGAGAGTTATCAGTGTCATGTTTATACAATGTATACACATCACGTGACTTTGACTGTGGAGTTATCAGTGTCATGTTAATACAATGTATATACATCATGTGACTTTGACTGGGGAGTTATAGGTGTCATGTTTATACAATGTATCATGTGACTTTGACTTGCGAGTTATCAGTGTCATGTTTATACAATGTATATACATCACGTGACTTTGACTGGAGAGTTATCAGTGTCATGTTAATACAATGTATACACATCACGTGACTTTGACTGGGGAGTTATAGGTGTCATGTTTATACAATGTATCATATGACTTTGACTGGCGAGTTATCAGTGACATGTTTTATACAATGTATATACATCATGTGACTTTGACTGGCGAGATATCAGTCATGTTTATGCAATTTGTATATATATCACATGACTTTGACTGGGAAGTTAGCAGTGCCATGTTAATACAATGCATACGCATCACGTGACTTTGACTAGGGAGTTATCAGTGACATGTTTTATACAATGTATATACATCACGTGACTTTGACTGGGGAGTTGTCAGTGACATGTTTATAAAATGTATACACATCACGTGACTTTGACTGGGGAGTTGTCAGTGACATGTTTATAAAATGTATACACATCACGTGACTTTGACTGGGGAGTTATCAGTGTCATGTTTATACAATGTAAACACATCACGTGACTTTGACTGGGGAGTTATCAGTGTCATGTTTATACAATGTAAACACATCACGTGACTTTGACCGGGGAGTTATCAGTGTCATGTTTATACAATGTATACACATCACGTGACTTTGACTGGGGAGTTATCAGTGACATGTTAATACAATGTATATACATCACGTGACTTTGACTGGGGAGTTATAGGTGTCATGTTTATACAATGTATCATGTGACTTTGACTGGTGAGTTATCAGTGTCATGTTTATACAATGTATATATATCACGTGACTTTGACTGGGAAGTTAGCAGTGCCATGTTAATA